TCTATGGCGCCTGCTGCCATATATTGACGGCGTCTCGGAAGCAGTCCCCCACCTATTTAAACCACTGGGGATCGGCATCGCCCACCGACCATAATCAACAATATGACGTCTGCTCATTTGACCTGAGGCACCCCTGTACCGGGACGAAACCGGCAATAAAAGGTACCGGATCAAATGTGCCTCCAGTACTTTGGAGATACAGGCAGGCGTTAACAGCCCCGAAAGACGGAGCACATGAGGGTAGGAAGACTGATGGACCAACTGTCTTCGGCGGCAGATTATTGTGTAGACTCTGCAAACAATTTTGCCCTTCAAAATGCTGACATTATGTGTCGAAGAAATGATCGCGCAGTCAGGAAATCAATCGGGACCTGGCCTACAGGGATAATCTCAAAGAACCGTTGTGTGGCGCTCCCCACAACCTACCAAGCCATCCGAACTCAACTCAGCAGACAAAGTTGCAAACATGAACCCAGGCCTAAAATTAGTCCGTATGCGTGTGAGTCCATGGTGAAAACACTGGGGGCCGCATACCATCCGACCTGACGAAAGGGCAGGCAAAATCGCAGCCAGTTCATCTACTCGCCCTACCAATGCGAAACCAGGCGAACGTGGAAGCACAGAAAAGAGTGTCTGCTTGGTATGACAGACGAGGCCAATGCGGACACTGTTTATAGCTGCACACGGCAAAAAGCAAGCAAGACGGACGGTCCCCAGCGTCATCCCTGGCACCCGCAACCAGTAGTACGACTTGAGGAGCCTCCCCGCCACCAGGTCCCCTGGACTGAAAACAGCCGCAAACGGATGCAGGGCAAACACCCGACGGCCGGCCATTATCATTCACGATGATTCCTGTGCATTAACCACCATAAGGCCCCTTCCACTAAGTGTACAAACCCCCCTATTTACTATGTTTGTCACCTATCTATAAAAACTATGAGGCGGGGTACGACAATTACCTCCGACGACGGAAACTTGTCTGTTCTCGAAGCGTCAGGAAAAAAAACAATTATAGTTCACGACATAGCTCTTTCTTCTCATATATATATATATGTATATATTCACTCAGAAATGTGCGAACACCGATCGAATAGG